TGGTCATTCAGTGATGTTCTCAGATAGCACCTGAAAGGTTACCAAAGAAGCATTAGTAATGGCTCAGGGTAAAAAAACTGACACATTATATATGACTACAGATTTACTCGTGCATGGACACATGAGTCAGATGTGCATTATGGGAAACCAAAAGAAAGTTAATTTCCTGAAAAGTCGTAGAGCACTAAAGGCAGGAAAATCAGACTTTTTACATACAAATGGTGGAGAAACACAGAGTTATGAATAAATCTTGCAAAATAAGAATTCGAGCAAGTGGGAGCTGACCGAGAAGAAGGAGATGGATTCCCTGTCAGGGAATCTGACTTGGGAGCTGACAGAACTTCCACCAAGGAAGAAGACATTGCATAATAAGCGGGTGTACAGGGTGAAGATTGTGTTTAGTGGCAGTAAAAGGTACAAAGCTGGACTTGTTGTAAAGGGCTTTCAGCAGGGGCAAAATATTGTTCATGCAGTGGGAGTTATAAGCAGAAACAAGAGTAACCCAGGAAAGAGCTTGATGGTATGAGGCTAAATTGACGGTGATATGTCAACTGAGGGTGTTACTCTTGAGAAACTGAAGTTGTGCTCGACTTCAGTTGGTCTTCTGGTATGAAGAATAGGGCTTCGAGTTGCAGAGGTGGAGGATATCCTTTTTAAGGAAAAGGTCGGTACAGCTAGTAGATGATGCGACTAATAGGTGATGCATTCAGTGTCCCAGTCTCCAAGTGGGAGAATTGTTGGGTAATGTGGAGACCCAATCCATCGAATTTAATTAGCTTCTTAATTAAGTATCCCACCTACCGCTCACCTACCACATCCCACCTACCGCTCACCCACCTACCGCTCTCATGGTTTCTATAAATAGTCTCTTTTGGTTTAAAGGAAATGCAAGCCAAGCAAGACCAAACCAAGTCATCTTGAGAGCTAAGAGAAGGAGAGGAAGAGAGAGAGAGAGGAAGAGAGAGAATAAAATAGAGACTTTATTATAAACGTCGAGACGCTCGATGGTGTAATTCTTCGAAAAAATAAATTCTCTGCAGCTCCGTGGACGTAGGCAAATTTGCTGAACTATGTAAATTTGTGTGTCGCTTTGGTGATTTTTCTGCATGCAATTTTTCTCGTTCCATTTTTTGCTTTATTGTCGACGTTTTTCACAACACTTCTCACTAGCAAGAAGAGGCAGATGTCAAATGTCACTTCAATCTTCCAAGGACAAAGAGTATAGTTGGCGCCTCTGATGCAAGAAGTTGCCCGACCTCTATAGAAAGGGAACCGATGATTTGCACTGTTTCGTCAACAACATCAAATCAAGCGTCATTAAAATGGACGAGAAAACCAACAAGAAAGAATAAATTGATGATTTGCTCGGTTTTTTATTTTTGTGGTAATTTGGATCATTTAATCAACATTGCAAACTCAATTTTCATAGTTTAATGGCTTAGTAGAGCCTCTATATTACATTTTGAATAATTTTAATAGTTTAGGATAAGTATTTTTAATATTTTTTTGCTTTAATTTATGCTTTTTTAAGGAAGGGTGAATTATGATTTAGGATAATTCACTGTTCACAATCATGTGTAGAAGTCTATATCACGTTTAGGGGTGTTTGTACCTTAGAAATTTTTTGTGATTGTAATTTTGCATCACAAACTTTTTTAAAGTTTAAATGGATTTTTAGATGAAATTGAATTTTACTACAAAAAAATATGATTGAACTAAGTTATCTTTTAAAAATCATCTCATCAAATGTGAATCAAATTACAATAATAAATTGAAATCTTCAAGATTTAATGAAGACTATTCAAACATTGATTTTAATACCTATAGTTGAATTGAACATTTCTATGAGATGAACAAAAAAAAGTTATCTAATCCATTTTTAATAAGTCTAAATCAAGCATTTTAAATAAGAATTTTATTATATTAATAAAATATTAAATAATTCATTATTATAATCAAAATGAGCATTTTTATTTAGACAAATCAAATAGTCTTAGGATTGCTCAATTTTGAGATTGTTAAAGTGCTTAAATGCTAAAAGAATTATTTATGATTAAATGAATTAACAATTGTCCTCCAATGAAATATTTTTAAGGCTCTTGAGATTCAATATAACAATGGATCCATGAACATTGGTTAATATTTTTTTGCTAACGTTTTTCTCAGTAAGGCCTTTAATAGTGTTAATAAGCTATCCAATTTATCTAGACTTTCCTAAAAACATTTTGCTCTAGTATTTATTAAATAGATTTTTGTTTGTAACATAGATGTTCCTAATTTCTTTATTGTGTTTAAACAAAAAAATAAGGGACTTTGCAATTCATATATTTGATTGAAGCAATATTTCTCATTATATCCACTCATCTTTACTATTATAATGGAAAATTTCTACAATCTTCTGGAAGAAAAATATTGTTTTTTTCTCTAGAAACTACATTCATACTCTAAATAATTACACTTCAATTTCTCCTATCCTATTTGCATATCATTTTTAGCCATTCATAAGGTTGATTCTCTTATTGCATCTTCCCTTGAAAAGAATTTATACAACTTGGCACAAACAAATCAACTAAAAACTAAAGTGTGCTTCTTTAAATACTTAAGAATTTAGTGAAATACTTAGTAATAAATTTAATAATTTCCTTATTATTATCTAGGATGGCCTCTAAAAAACTAGATAGGTTTTAGCGATGATTATCGTTCATATTAAAGAATAATTCAAGGTGGAGGGCCTGATGGAAACATAAATTAATAACTATTTTTAGTAAATTAGTTCCTCTATTAGTAGCAATCTATCTGATCAATATTTGCTACTTTTAAATAAACTCAAATGAATAACCTGACAACTCCTTTTCAACGGTGATAAGTAAAAAAAAATAGTCATTTCAAATCCTAGAAAATGTGGATTTGCAATTTTATCCTCTATTTTCAATTTAACTGAATCTGCAAAATGAAAATGGCTTAAATGTCCCTCTTCTAACCAACTTTCTAGCTAGTTGGTTCCATGGTAAATATGTTCCTTTTTGATAAATTATTTCTACTAGATTTTCTCTTTAATGGAGGGAATTAAGAGTTTTGTTTGTATATATAAAAAAAAAAAGATTAAATATTTTATTGAAGATGACACATCAATCTATATTTTTGTTGTTAACACTTCACTTGCTAGTAAATCTCAACTTAAGATTTTGAGAATAACTTACTTTTACTCAATGCTCCACCTAATGCGAAGCATAATACTATCAGCATGACATGAATGGTCATTGGAACATATCTGCCCCCATTACTAGCTTTCAATGTGAATTATTATTCATAATTTTAAAATCATTCATGGGGTGGATAATGTTTGCCATAATGGGAATGTTGTTTTCTTTGGTTATCTCATCAAAATGATGCTTTTAAGCTCTATCCATTCGTAGATTAGCTTGTTTCTATTCAGAGATAGATAACTTTGGAGCTTTAAGTATGGATATTAATCAGGTTTACAAGCTTTTTGAAGAGTTATGTCCATCTCGTAAAATGTTTCTATTTCAACAAAATCCTGAACATGTGCTCTCCTAGCATGGGCCTCTGACATTAACATTAAAATATCTTTTAGTATTTTAATGATTGATTATATTTATCTTTAAGCTGTTTTATGTGGTGTGAATCAAACGAAAAGTATTTAATAAATATATTTCATCTTTACCTAGCATGATTTTGAGAATCAGAACTCAGTTTATAGCAAAGTTGCAAGGGTAGAAATTTAAAAATCATATACTCATAGAGGCTAAACCCCTGTTCCTTTAAAAGGAAAAAGGGACATGGTTGCAATTTATTTTTGTTTTGGACTGACGGCATTTTAGCATTGTTGTATTATTTTTTTATTTCTTTCCTAATGGTGCCACTGAATTGGTATACTTTTTGCTGTGATATTAGGTTGTCTTAATATTGCGATCGATGATTTCTGCCTAAAATCTAATCATTCTCAGTGATTCTGCAGCGAGCGGGAGTTGGACAATGATTACTTCCTTGATGCCTTCTTTGTTAGTTCAACCCTTAACAATTAGCACAATATACTGCTCAGTTGTGATCTTTAGAAGTTGTGAGTATTAATTCAGCTGGATGGAACTTGGATCAAATCTCTCTTATTGCCCGAGCCTATTCCCGGTCATTTGTTGTTATTCGTAAAGTATTTGTTTTTGGAGCAAATTAATCTGTGATTTTATTTTTCTTAAATCTCTTCTGACTTTATAATTGTTTAATATTTATGAATAGAATAAGGATATTGCCTTTGATATTAAACACATATACGAAAAGAAAAATATAGATGAAACGTAATAGAGAGACAGAGAGAGAGAGAATGAGGTTATTTTTGTCACCAATATTTAAGAAAATGCCCATTTTATAATTTAAACGTCAACAAAATAGCTTCCTGACAACATTTTAACGCAGTTATTGCCTTATTGGACAGCACATTAACCATGCGGTTGAGCTGTAAGGTTTGTCCATAAACTTTTTCTTAATTTCAAAGAAATTTGCCGCCGCCCCCAAACAAGTCCCAAGAAAAAAATCAAAAAAAAAAAAAAAAAAAAAAAAACCAAAGCCCGTTTTTATTATTCTATTACGGTTCATGAGAAAAATTTTGATTTCCATAGTCCATTATGAATTCGATGGGATTATTTTTATTTTTATTTTTTAAAAAAATTGAAAGTGGATCACACCGAACCCGAGATGAAGGGTAAAGATCGGACATCACATATATCTCTGCAGGTGGTGTCCGCACGGAATAATTTTTCCTTCATGAGGATGTGAAACACAATTATTGGTGATATTTACTTTTTCTTTTTTTTACTTTTTTTGGACGTTCATATAAAAAATACAACAAGATCTTACACAAGGACTGATTCGATTGTTCCAAGTATTTTTTTTAAGACGATGCAGAAAAGTTTCACAAATCCTAGAAAAAAAATAAAAACAGCATTTTTTTAGTATTTTTTCTTTTTAGGCGAATAAATAGGATCTTAAGGGAAACTAAGAATTATTTCCATTACACTTTTTTCTCACATGGGATATTGTGCATATTTGGACTTCCATATTGAGAACATCCATATAACATAAAGTCTAAATTAAATAAAAGTAAAGCGATACACTCTAATTTTTTGCCCAGTCCGTTTGAATCCAGATTCTAACTGGATCTGTACTTACCTAAATCAATCAGAGCACTTGATGGAGCCAAGACATTTTGTTTCACGCTATGACATAATATAAAAGATAAGAAATAAAAAAAGAAACGAAAACAAAAACCGGCATGACATGTAGCAAGTAACAGATCCCCCTAAATCCACCGCCGTGATCCAACTCTCGAATCTATTCCTTGCTCTTAAGAAACATCTGGCGCAGCTCAGCTGGATCTATCTCCCTGAGGCGGTTCGCTGGCCTGTAATAGCCCGTCACGGGATCGGGAACCCAAGCAGCATCCGAGCTCGCCGCTACTGATTTCTTAATTCCACTCATCAATACTGCCTTCTCCTCCATCAAACCCCTTCCGGATGACGCAGCCGCCCCCGCCGCCGACGATGAAAATTGCCTGCTGCTCAAAACAAGTCCATCGGAGAGAGCGGCAAAGAGGATCTTCCCGTTAGAGATAGCACGAGCCATCGGATCAAGAAAGATCAACAAGAGTTAGCTTCGGTCGGTAGCAACAAATATACAGAATGAGAAGAAAAGGAGGAGAGATTCGTCTCCTCTTCTCCTCTTCTTCTCCCAGTAGCAAAATAATATTAATTAATGCCTCACCTGAGCTTTCTGTGTGACCAAAGGCAGAGGGGTGGAGCTCCATTAAATAGACCAATATGGAAGAAGGAGAGTAGAAGGTGAACAGAAAATATCGTCGACGCGTCCAAACCTAACAAATTTCCTTGAAACAATGCTGTTACCGCTTGGCAAGCGGCAAGCGGTTTATTGACTAGTAAACCAATGAGTGTTGCCGTCCTGAGTGCGTAGTGGGCCCAGGTCTGTCAACGCACAGAGAAAATATCGGGCAGGCTGGACGGTTCGTAAAATCTCAGAGAAAATTTCTCATTCGAACTGGGCACCGAATTCTGCATCGACTTCAATAATATATTGTCATATATGTTAAATCAAACTCACTTAAAAAATTAAAGGGAAATAGCGGACATTATTGAAATAGAATTATGGATATTATTGAGAGAGTTATTGAAAAGTTTTTGATATTAAATTCAATAACGTCGTAATAACTCCTCAATAACGCTCTAATAACTCTTCAATAACCTCTGTGGTTCACTCCAATAACCCCTTGCAATAATCCCTGCAATAACCCTCAATAAACTTTGTGATTCTACTTTAATAACCCCTGCAATAACCCTCAATAATTTATTTGGTTTCACTTCAATACCCCCTACAATAATCTCTACGGTTCCATTTCAATAACTCTTTATATTAATCTCTGCAATAATCTCTTAATAATCTTTCAATAATCTATGTAATTTTACTTCAATAATCCTCCAATAATCTTTGTGATATAACAATTGTGATGGTATATTATTAAGGTCCCGAAGTAGAGCTACCTTTGGACTACCTATGAAAAATTTTCCCAAAATTTAGAAGACTCGGCTGCCCTTCACGAAGTCTGAACATTGCGTGTTGGTGCGCGCTCACGGGCAACCGTAGCGAAGGGTGACGCATGGGCATCTTCGGTTCACTGGCCAAACAGAGGCGATGTGGAGGATTTTCGCTCGCTAATTTCCTAGTCTGGACTAGCTGGCGCAGGATGAGGTTATTATGATTTTAATTTGGCCTTCGTTTATTGTAGGTGTTTTTCATGTTTTGAATATTGTTAATTCACTTACTGTTTGTTTGGTTAGCATATGGAACATGGCAATAGTAGATTTTGCGTTAATTAAGAAGATGTCTAAGAAATATTTAAATACATTTCACTTAATTTCTATGTCTTTACATTTCTAATGTGTAAACTTCTCTCTCTCTCTCTCTCTCTCTCTCTCTTATATATATATATATATATATATATCAAATAACTAAACTTCAATATACATATCTAATAACCTAACTTTGCTATTTTAGGGTCCATGTAACGAAGACAAGATGGCTTGCTTACTAATTTTCTTAATGATGTTCAAAAAATGGAACCATTCCTTAGTGGGTGCTATTGGTTGAAGATAATTTTATGATAAAATAATTTCCGAGAATATAAAAATGATCATAATTGGAGGACCATTGGTTTTCATTGGCCGTCTTCTTATTATCTGGCATTGATAACATGATTTTGGCTCTAATAAGGAGGATTTAAAACACATAAATGGATAATTACATAAGTGGAAAATCCTTATAACTTCGCATGCTATTTTTATCATTTTTGAAAAAAAAAATTACGATTGAAAAGTGTGTAAATGCTAATAATTTTGACGTATCAAATATCACAACATATTATAGAAAAGATTGAATACATAAGACACGAGTAATAATATAATTTGTGAGGGAAATAAATCAACACAATTAGACAAGCAAAATTTGTAAAATTAGACAAGCAAAATATGAAATCTCTAGAATAATATTTCAAGTATTTTTTTATTCTATAAAAAATTATCATATATAACACACGTGTCAAAATATATAAATATTTCACAAAATAAAATTTCACGCAAAAAATACATATTATTTGGTCGATAAGTCCAGCATGGTCTAATCTAAACGATGAAATTTATAAATCTCAGTAGATCAAAATTTGTACGAAATTTTGGCAATTAAAATACCAAAATGTTACGAAAAAAATGATATTGAAATCTGAAGTAGTTTAATGATAGACTACATGACAATTTTCCCAATTGGCCTGACGGACAAAATTAGCGAATAGAGAAATGAATTTTCTCTCTCTATGTTCCCTCCCCTTCTTCCTCTAGAAGTCACGGTTTGGAAAATCAAAAAATAAAACGATTGAGAAATCATTCCTGTAATGCTTTAAGATTTTTTTAAAACAAGATTTTTTTATTTGTTAAAGGACAAAATGATAATTATTGAAATTATATATATATAACTTTAAATTGAACACTTTATATATTGAAATATAAGACTCCAAAAATTATAGAATAATAGTTAATAAGTAATAAAAGCATATCTAGAATTCACTGTGATAAGTCGTTTGTAAAACAGACACTAGATGGTTCCCAAAAACCCACTTGTATAAGAATGTGCCAAATCCTTAAGGAAGACAAGTCAAACAAAAAACATTTTATTTTCTATCAATGAAGCTCATAAAAATAGGAAAAAATATGCTTAAAATAGAATCAAGTGTGCTTTACAACTTTGTGAAGAAATTTATAAATAAGCATGAAACAAAACTACTAAAATCGATGAATAAAATCTCCATTTAATGGTGTTAATAAGCTTTGCATTGAATATAGACTTTCCCAAAAAGGTTTTGTTTTAGTATTTATTAAATAAATTTATGTTTGTAACATAGATGTTCCTAATTTCTTTATTG